GTTCCTTCTATTCATGTATCACATATATATTTTTGTTTTGTTTTGTTGGTGGTGGTGGTACTGGTTGTGGGGCTTGATCTCTGGGCCTGGGCACTGTCCCTCAGCTCTTCAGCTCAAGGCTAGCACTCTACCACTTGAGCTACAGTGCAACTTCCGGTTTTCTGGTGGTTAGTTGGAGATAAAAGTCTCACACACTTTCCTACCGGGGCTAGTGATCCTCAGATCTCAGCCTCCTGAGTAGCTAGAATTACAGGCGTAAGCTGGCTACATCACATATACATAAGACACTTTTCTAAGGATCTGGGTTCAAGTCACATCCCTGTCAACTCTAGACAAGGCACTATAGGCAAGGAGTGTAGAAATGCTGAGCCTCAGCTTTCAGGTCTGCAGGATGGAGGTGAAATCTGCACTTCTGTCATCGAGTTGCTGGAGATCACGTAGTGGAGAGATTGCAAAATACGTGGCCCAGTGCAAAATTTTCATAGTGTAAAATTTTCTGAACGTAATTTTTGTCATTAATATTTAATACATTTTTTCATTAAAATGAACACATTTAGCTCTTTATAAGAAAGGAAATCAAGCACCTTTATAATTGGAAGACTAAAGTATAAAGTAGGTAGTATTATTTACTCTTCCTTCTTCCTCTACTATTTGTAAGTGATCATTGTTGAATTCTCTGATTGCAAAATAAGTGGGAGAGATTTGGAATCATCACAGCTGGGAGTATGAATGACTCCTGTTTCTCCACTCATGTTTTCTTTGTAAATCCACCTTCCACACGGCTCCCAGAACAGGTTTGACCATACAGCTACGACCATCTGAGTCAGGCGCTCCATGTGTCATATGGTATTGTTGTCTGCGTATGAACCAACCTCTGTACTCTGGGTTTAACATTGAAACCAGGTTTTTTTGAGCACAGAGATGACATCTCTTATATAAACCTATTTTATGTCTACAGTAAAACCAGATGACTTTTAAACATCCAAAGTCACATGATTAGTATTGTTAAACAACAAACCTTCTACTGAGCCACAAAAGTGCAAGGACTTTATATATGTTCCGTATTTATGTCTAAAATATTACCCTATTTACATCAAGCTAGTGTATGGTAGCTCACATCTCCCTCCCTAGATAGGAAGAGTTTTAAGCAGATAAGTGACACATTGGATACCGAGGAGCTCCAACAAGACAGAGTAGTTCCCCACTCAGCAAGGCTGCACAATGAGAAGAAATACTATTAAAGGAGAAAAAGAAAACTGTGAGGAGACTGTTAGACTCCCATGACTGAACATCTAGAAATCACCCTTTTAATTTGGATTGTAGTGTGAAGTTAGAATTCTGAAAGCTGTGGTAGCCTTTATAATTTGTCTACCATGTAGACCTAGTAGAAAGCATGGGCATTATTCCATGCATGTGTGCGTGTGTGTGTATGTGTGTGTGTGTGTGTGTGTGTGTGTGTGCGTGCTGGTACAGGGTCTTAAACTCAGGGCCTCAACTTTCACTTGGTTTTCTTGCTCATAGCCAGTGCTGTACCACTTGAGCTATACCTCTAGTCCTACATTTTGTTGATTAGCTGAAGATTGAATCTCACAGACTTTTCTGCCTGAGATGGCTCTGAATGACCTTCCTGGTCTCAGCCTCCTGAAAAGCTAGTATTACAGGCACGAGCCATTGGTTCTAGGCTACAGATATGTATAGGACATAGATATGTATATGTATTTACTAACCAAGTATCTTCTGCAACTGGTAACCTGAAGCCTCTGGCAGAACTTTTAATTCCAGAAATTAAAATAAAAATGCGGCTCAACAAAGGACCCTTCTTGAAAAATTCTAACCTGTATGTTTACCTTTCGACTTTGTACAGTTTCATTCCCATAGCCTGACACATGTCCTAAATCCAAGTCTTAGAATTTATTAGCATTCCTCATCCACGCAATTCATTAGCAGCCTGCCTGCCTCAGTCAGTATGGCTCTGTAATCCTAGAAGTAGGTTGGGATGCTGGAGTTCTCATTCTCTTACCATCATCACCAATGAGAAAATCCCAATGGCCAAACCACAGACACATCTAGAATTCTATAGATTTTTATCACCATAGATGCAAGACTCTTGGTCCACAATCCCCTCTTGCTTAAGATTACTATAATCACATTCTTGCTTTTGCCTTTGATCCTAAGCCTACTCCTCCTATGAAAGCCATAGAAATCCTGTCATGATTTAAGTCCACTTGTGTCATTCTCCCTCCACTCCTATAGGAAAGGCAGCACTTTAAGTCTTTGCCCCTGATCCCTTTGGCCTCCTTGCTGTGTTACAAACTTATCAGACACACACTCAGGAATACAGGACAAATAATTGTGAAATGTGACATTAGGAAAAGTTCTTATCTCCCTTGTAGTCACGTGTTTTAGTTGCCAATGATAGATATCCCAAATCCCAACTCTCCAAATCCAAAAGCTATTCTGCAATCCAGACATGTAACTGTGTTCTCGCTATTGGCAAGCCAGGTGGTTGCCAACCTCGGGGTGCCTGGAATGGTATCAAGCACACAGGATGAGGCAAGGAATCTGAAAGTTCTCCAGAAAGAATCAATCATCTATCTTCCATATCTCTTCTGGGCCACAGTGTGCTGATTTCTAAGTGGGATGGAAGAATCTTACGCAAAGCAAGTGTCTGCAATGTCATTATAAACTCAGATACATAATCGTAACTCAAACCACCACCAGCAATCTGCATGACAAGTCTTTACATGAATATTTAAGAAATATGCATGTCAAACTAATAAATGTGGGCATCTTAACTCTTTGGTGGTACATGAATTATTTTCCACACCAAGTAGCACAAAGATAGGGCCAGAAAACCCGTAAAACCACTGTAAAAGAAAGGAAAATGAAGACACGTGGAAATGTGCTGGTCAGCTAGAGCTCGCTTTCAAGTGAGAGAAGTCTTCTTATTCCCAACCAACCACACACACATATACACAAATATGCACATGCACACATACACACATGCATAATATATCCAATCCTTTGAAATGTCCACTGTAGACATTAGAGCACAAGCTACTTGCACAACGCATTTACTCTGCAGCCTCTCCCTCGTCAATGAAATGAGGAGTTACATAGCACTTGGCTACTCTTTACCCCTCCCCCAACCTCTCCTCCAGACCCAAACATGTTCAGCCCCACACCATGCTCTACAATTTGAAGGTAGTGCAATACAACACACACACACACACACACACACACACACACACGTAACTAACGCATACAATCATTGGGAAGGAAGTATGTAGAATTTCAGACACTTCATTGATTTCTCCCACCAGGAAATGAATGGTCTTTTAGTATAAAGTCATTCCCAGAACCAGTTTCTCCTTTTCTCAAGGGTACTTGGGGTGGCTGACAGGGTGATAGAAGTCTTAAATCCATCACAGTGACACCATGTCCCTCTTCTCTGACCTGATACTTTGTAAGCACATACAAAGTTTTGGTGCCTAGGTTCTTGCTGGTTCTGAATACCTACAGTCAAGATATTTTGGGCTGGGTGCTGGTGGCTCATGCCTGTGATTCTAGCTACTCAGGAGGCTGAGATCTGAGGATCGAGGTTCAAAGCCAGCCCAGGCAAGAAAGTCCATGACACTCTTATCTCCAATAAGCCACCAGAAAACTAGCCTTGAGCTGAAGAGCTGAGGGACAGCGCCCAAGCCCAGAGTTCAGGCCCCATGACCCACCAAAAAAAAAAAAAAAAAAAGATATTTTAGTGCTTACACTAGCTTGGTATGATTGTCCCCTTCCAAAATTCTATTCTACAGAGAGAGGAACAGTGGAGGTGGTTTTCAGCTCAGTAAACACATCTAGTATCATTTTACGGGCAGCCAGTCCCAGCCTGCGGCCAGCGAGACCAGCCCAGCCCATGCTGATTCCTGTGCTGAATTAGAGCCCCCTTGGCCACCTGCCTCCTGCCAGCAACAAGTTCCTTTTTTATCCTATTTATCTTCACAGTCATCTATTTGTGTCAAGAAAGGAAACATATGAACACAGCATCTGTTACTCGAGCGACACAATTACCAAATACTTCTATAAGGAAAAAAAACCGGCCATAAATTCCCATTCCTTGTCAGGTGTTTCAGGGGACAAAGCATTAGTCTTGCGATCACAGTGCCTAGTGTAAACCGGGCATATGGTGCCTCACAGCAGAGTCGCTGTGGCTCAGTCTGGCGTTTGATGGGCACAGCCACCAAAGGAATGTCACCTTGTGTGTGTGTGTGTGTGTGTGTGTGTGTGTGTGTACAAACGGCTGGGAAAAGCAGTTTTCCTTTCCCCAGGCAACTCCCTCCCTCCTTACAATAAAACTGCTGACAAACTCGCCGGAGGTTACTTTTCCAAAGCTACTGAACTGTCCTCCAGCTGAGGGTGGGATGGGAGCACATCCCTCTCTGTCTGTCTGTCTGTCTGGACAACTCAAGATGATCTTTCTACAGACACAACTGTGGCTACGGTCGGCTCTGCTTGGGGGAGGCAAAGCAACAGGTACATTCGACTTGTCCTGGTGTTTAGTCTTGCGAGAGGGAGAGAGGGAGAGAAGAAGAGAGGGAGAGAGGGAGAGAAGAAGAGGGAGAGGGAGAAGGAGAGGGAGGGAGGGAGACAGGTGTCGACAGGCAGAGAGATCTGATTACAGCCAAAGAGAACGAAGTGGTGGACACCTGGGCCCAAAGACAGGCACGGCCCTTTAAGGGAGTCCTGACTTTCTCCAATGTCCTGGTCCTGCAAAGACGAACACCCTACAGACGCCCGTCTGTCCGTCCGGGCT